ATGAAGAAGGGAGCAAGTTGCACGTGGGGAAAAAAAACGCGCCTGATTTAAATGTCACACCTGAACGCTCACATCCTTTTAATTATGTTTGAAATTATGAACATTGCTCAACATCATGAAAATTAAACCTTATTTTCAATAAGCAATCCTGAAAAATATTTGGGGGTGCTTAACTTTTTTCTAGGTGTATATATATAAATGATTTATTTTGGAAAGCTAAAAAAAAAAAATGACATCGATATCTTTATCAGGAAAATAAATTTATAAACAATTTTTCAACTCCAGAATTATTTTCCTTAACATACAGATATATTGGCAATTTAATTTGTATTAATAATCTACTAATATATAATTATATTGGTAAGATGTATCCTACAATTCTAAAGATTGAGAACACTTTTTTGTATCAAATACTGAAGTACATTATTTAGATTTAGACATTAAGATAATTATTAATTACAGTAATATTAATATTTATGATAAAAGAAATGATTTCACATTCCAGATTTTTGGACTTCCCTTTCCAAATAGTACTGTACCAACAAATGTCATACAGAGTATTAAACATTCACAGCTTTTTAGGTATTGTAGTAAATTACAATTCTTAATATCTAGCATTAATTTATTAGCACACAATCTGATTCTTAATGGGTTTGACGAGAAAACTTTAATTCAATATTCTATAAAAAAATATAAAAATTATTGTTAAGGAAATAATTGGAGTTACTTATTGGACATTTCATATCTTACCTGGGTAGATTAATGTAGTTTTATCACCTTCCTTATATAAAATCTGCTACTGTGTGGAAGTTGTACTAAAAATTTTGGTTGGCTTTGTATAGTAATGCCTTAACATCTTGGTAATTATGTCCAAACATCGTAATGGGGGCTGAAATACTAACTTCAAGGACAGTTTTGATGTCTTGTATTTTATTATTTCTTTCTTTCTTCTTTTTTTTTTTTAGAAACATCTTCCCACATCTGGCTGCAGACAGCTAAAGGTATTAAAGATGTGGGATGTTGCAGGCTAGAGCATCCACATCTTCTCCATTTTGTTTTTTTATGCATGTGAGGCTGGTGAAGTTGAGATTAAACTGGACAGATGGTGTACCCCCCCAACACAATTTGGGTCTTACTTCCACCACGACCTCAAAGAACCAGGGCACATTAATGACCCATCTTATTATTTATGTCCCAATTGGATGTTTGTTTTATGGCTGTGATCTTGTTTTTTTTCCATACAATTACATTTAATTATATATTTATAAACTGAAGATACATATAAAAACCAGACTCAAAACCTTACATAGAGGTGTGTGTATGTGTGAGGGGCAAATCGGAGTCTTCACACAGCCGACCAAAGGGCACGAAAGATGGCCCTGAATTATAGATATTGGAAAAAAAATTTAACACGTGATAACAATTTAAGATGTGGAAGTAACACAAATTTATTTACTAAAACGATGATTATGTAATACAAATATCAGTGCCACGTCACTTTATTTAAATAATAAAATATTCATTTTTTCATAATTTACACTCAATATACATACATCCTTATTTTTCACTTATGTTATTTGTAATCCAATATTAGACACTAAGACTAAAGTATAAGGTAAGAGAAAAATTCAACCTTTACATAGTTGATGACTTTAAATGTTTCAGCTATGAAACAGGAGGTTCTAAAAGTAAAAGACCAAAATGCTATGTGTCACAGTTATCACTGTCATATATGTATATTACTGATACCCGTGGATTAAAAGAATCAACTAAATTGTTTTTCTTCTGAAAAAAAAAAATCATTCACAACACTTAGACCTTATATTCAAGTCAAATACAAACAATTGACTTAATTTAACATGGAATGCTTAAAATACTTTATGTAGTGCTTATATTCTCTGACATTGGAATAAACGTGTCTGCTTTTTGTCCTGTGTACTTTCGAAGATAAAAGTACATCATAGCAATACCAATTCCTAGACCAATAAGTAACATAGCTATGGCTAATCCTGCTAGAGCACCTGTGAAAAATAAAAAGACATGGAAAAAGAAAATTACTAAATTTTTTTGTGGTGGGAAGCTAACAAAAAATTATTTTTAGAAAAAAATGAAGCAAAGACTAAGACTTCTGCATGAGAAGCCAATAATTCAGTCACTTAAAATGCACATCTGAACACAATTGTAAGTGAGACAGGGGGTATTTTTGTGACAGCATTAAATATATTTTTCAAAATGTAATCTCATGTATTCAGTCACACTGTTGCTTTTTATTATAATTTAAATTTACAATGCTAGAATTAATTATTTTCAGCCAATTAAAGTAAGTAAATATAACTATAACAAATTCTCATGATTTATTTCTTAAGTATATAAAATATTATATGTCTATTTTCTATACCTTAACAAATGTAAACTTAATTCTGAAGAGAATGCACTGTAAATTGGGTTCTTAACTCGTGTGTGTGTTGTGGGGAAGGGTATTTCTTTGCTGTTAGAGAGATTTAAAAAAATGCATGTTTTTCTGAAAGACTATATACGGCTTATATTCCTCTGACAAACGTGTGCATTATTTTTAATAAACCCAAACAGAAACATGCATAAAAAGTCCTGCTCGACCAATCCAATAGGTTCCCAAACTTATGTCATGCATGGATGCAGTTGTTTATTTCTACAACAGCAACAATTCATTAATTGTTATTTCTAAAGCTGTTATCAAAGCTTATTATATGTACATTCACTTTCATTTTTATGGTTACATTGTAATCACTTTTAGTTTTAACTATGCAACCCAAAATTGTATTTGTATTAAAAAAAAGAAAAAAGCATGCTTTAATTGTTAATTTTGTTGCCATTAACTTTTTAATAGTTCATCCTATTACTACCTCTTTAATTGATGTCCTAACATGAGGACAGAATGAGTGAAACTGAATTTGAGGTCAGTAGACTGGTGTTATAACATGGCTATGACTAGTTTCACTGCCTTGCATTGGAAACTAGATTTTGATAACAAGAATATATCAATCACTTTGATAATTTTTCTATTAAATGAACAGATAGGATTTTTTGATTTCACATTTTTTGAAATTAATTTTTGATATTCACATCATAATTATTTGTTTATTTTATGTAGCTTAAGTGTTACCTTTAAAATAGATTAACTCTAATTCATACTAAAACATAACAGTTACCCTAAAAACCTGATATTCAATTTATCATTATAGCTATACAGTAATTTTTATTGAAATGGATGTTCTCTTGTTTGTGTTATTGATTTAATATAAGAACACATAAATTATACAAAATATATTAACTAATTTTTTAGTAACTGAAACTCATACCTAAGTGTTTAATACACATGTGCAGTGTGTGCACATATTTAAACAAGTATCTGAAAATACAGAATGTTAAAGTAGAATCAAAAATATATGTAGTAACTGCTGTCAAAACTAACATGTGTAACATATACATATGTAAAGACAATGACCTGATAATACTGAATGTTAAAGCACATGCAGAATGAAAAATAAATATATTTAAATAAAGCCATCAAACACATTAAAACTTTTTAAAATTTTAAAGCATTATAGTTTTTCTGTGGGCCTACATAAGATGCCAGAACACCACTCAGAAACACCACTGCTCAGTGGAAGTCAAAGATTTAGAAATTTCCAACAGTATAAAGTAAGACACTCCAAAATACAACTGTGAATTTCAAAATGTTCACAGGTGCATAACGTTTTGGGACAACATGGGATCTATTGGCCCATCTTGGCTGTTAAATCCTCTTAAAGCCAGCCTTTATCATTCATATACTTATCAAGTGTTTTCTTACACTCACTTAAATTTACTGCCTCTACAACATCCAAAGGCAACCCATTCTAAAGGCTAACCTCCCTGTCAGAAAAATGAACCTGTCTTAGCTGAAGATGACTTCTACTTTGCCAAAATTTATATTTGTGTCCCCTAGTCTTACTATTAAAAAGATGATGCATCAGTACTATCAATTCCCTTCACAATCTTAAACACCTCAATAAGATCCCCTAACTCTTCTTTTTTTCAAGAGAAAACAATTCAGCCTCTCCTCGTATGACAACCCCTCTACTCCAGGCATCATTCTAGTAACCCTTCTCTGAACCCTTTCTAACAATTCAATGTTTTTCCTAAGGTAAGGAGCCCAAGACTGAACACAATATTCCAAATTAGGTCTAACCAGTGACCAGTAGAATGAAATTATAACCTCTTTAGACTTGTATTCAATATTTCTGTAGATACAACCTAAAATCCTATTTTCCCTACCACTAGCAACAGCACACTGCTTGGATGGCTTTAGAAACTGATTGACTATTATACAAAGATCCCTTTCCTTCATAACACTTTTAAGGTTATTCCCATCTAAATTGTAGTTATAATTCAAATTATGATAACCCACATGC